GATTACGTGAAGGAAATACATTGACAAGTAAATGTTCTATCCCCAGGAACAGTTAACCCATAGATGGAGACCCTCTAGTTTGTTTTAGAAGAATTATTACGCTTTTCCTGAAAATACCAAAGCAGACAACAATGAGGTTCTGCTAAATTGAGACAGCCAGACAAGCTACACTTGGAGGAAACTGATGAAGGGTCTTTAATTGTATAACATGCCAGGAAGCCTCCACTGCCATTCTGTAAGTTCTGGTTTTATGACTTGGTTGCACAAAAGGCTAATATCGTGCATGATTCTTGCTGTTTCTTCTTCACTTGTTGTCCTTTGAGTTATTGTATGAAGATACAGAATGAGCTTACTCCAAGCTATTGAAGCCTCTTTGTGTCCATGCAGGTTCATTACCCCAGCCCCTGATGATCTAAATTGATGTCAGTCAAGGATTGACTGATGTCAAGATTTCTTCCACCTACTGTATATGGTACTTTATGACCATTAGGTCTAAAAATCAAGATGGTTTCTTCATTCATAGTAGAAAGAAGTGGAAAACGTATTCATTCTGGAGCTATGGCGGGTCTTTGGAGTTGCATGAGACAAACCACTGGGGAAATACTGTTTGATTATATGTGAGATGAGAGGATACCTTAAATTATATAGCTACCATCCAATTCGTAATCCTTTGAAGAAAAGATTCTAAGTTTACATGGTTCGTTGTAGCAAATCCGAGCACGTTGTCGTTCCTTAGACCAATTTGTGTACATATGGGTATATATGTATGTTATATGCATGTAACAACGTGCACAATAAATTTACGAGGCTAGTTCAGATGAGCTAGACCAATTTGTGTACATATGGTTATATGCATGTATGTTATAATTAAGCTAATGTATGATGCAACACAAATAGAAGTTTATTATAGCATTATTGGGTCTAGATTGAAAAATCAGACGGAAACAATAAGTTCGAACCAAATTGGATCGGATAATGTTTTGTTCAATCTTCGGTTTAAAAAAAGTTTGGTCCGATATGGATTTGGCCCTATCATGTCCGAACCGATTAATTATTTTTTTAATTTTAAAAATTAAAATAATAAATGTATGTATTATAAAAAAAATTAAAATATTATACATGTCTTGTAATATTTAAGATTAAATGTTTGTATATAAATACTACATTTAAAAATTAATTTTTTTTGAAATTTTATTAATCTAATCCGTGGTGTAGTTCGGTCGGAATCAATAGTTAACAATTTATAATTAAACACTTAAATTAGGTTATAATATAAGTTTAGCTCTTATGTTATCTTTTTTCGATTTATTCTTGTTTAATTTTGTGTTATTTTAGTTTCTATAATTTTAGACAATATTCAGTTTAACTCATCCTCGTATGGATACATTCAAATATTATGTATAAATTTTTTAATAAGTCATTGAGATGCATTAAATATTATATCAGATAATAGGTAGGAAAAAAAAAAAATTACATATAAACAGACTCCTCCTCCACATTAAAAAAAAAAAAAGAGAGAGAGAGAGAGTTTTGCACTCCACCTGTTTTATTCTTTTTCACTTTTCCCTCTATTTACGCCGTCTTCTCTCCCTTCACGTGAATAATCAACATCACTAGCCCCTCTCATCATAGCATCACTTAAATCTCGCTTTTGCCTTTCCTCTCTTCCCTCACCTTTCTGTTCCTTTTTCTTTCCAAAAGTTTATATATATTTACATACATACGTACGTTAAATATATAATAGTTTACTAACAAATATATACATATAGAAGATTCTTCTGTGTGTGTATATACATACAAAATAGCTTCCGAGGGAAGCGTTTACAAAAGTTTCCATGGAAGCTTTCTTACTACATTTACATATATAGCACCGCACATGATTTTATACATGTGTAACATTTAAGCGGCTTCCACAGGAGGCTTTAAAGAAGCTTTCCATGGAACTCGCAAGCTATATTTTCTTGTCTTTTTCTTTATTCTTGGTTTATTTATGTTGATTTTGGGAGGATAGTTGGAGGAACCAAGAAGAGATGAGAGGAACATAACGATACTTGGGATTTAGTTCCTGTAGAGGAGGAAGATGAAGACAATAATAAGATGACGCTCACGGAGGGATTTGGAAGTTTAGGGAAAGCTTGTATTCTGAATTTCCAAGATGTTCGCAA